TGTATATTGAGTGGTTATAAACATGAGGATAGGGATAATTCATATGCTGATTTAATTTCCTTTGAGTGTAATCCCAGGAGTCAGATAGCTGAGTCATATGCAGGTCTAGTTTTAGGTTATTGAGAAATCTCTACACTGTATTTCATAAAAGTTGCTTAGGTTTCTATTTCACAAACAGTGCTTTAAGGTACCTTCTTCTCCACATCACCGCTTGCAATTGTAGTTTTCTGATTTTTGGAAGATAGCTATTCTAACTGGGATGAGTTAACTATGGCTTTATTTGCATTTCCCTCATGGCTGGTGATTCTGAGTATTTTTAAAGATTTATTCATCTTTTGAAAGGAGGAAAGAGGGAGAAAGAAAGAGAGAATCTTGTATCTGCTAGTTCACTCTCTAGATGGCTGGTGTTGGTCAGGCCAAAGTCAGGAAACAGGAGCTTCATCTGGGTCTCTCTCAGGGACACAGGGACTTGGGCCATCTTAAGTTGTTTTTTTCCCAGGACATAAGTAGGAAGCTGAATGGGAAATGGAGCCCAGGACCTTGAGACCCCATGCTCACATGGGAGACCCAGAAGAGCCCCCCTGGCTCTTGGCTTTGGATCAACAATGGTCTGGCCATTGAGGCCATGTAGGGAGTGAGCCAGCAGATGGAAGAGCTTTCTTTCTGTCTCTCCTTCTCTCTGTAAACCTGCTTTTCAAGGCATGCCAAAGCAAGAGTAGGAGGTGAGAATGGGACAGAAGGCCGAAGTCTTTGGCAGGCCAGCATCTAAAGGGTTCAGAAGAAGTCCAGATTTTTACTGCCAGGATGCTAAGATGCCAAAATGGTAAGTACTAAGTGTGCCATCTTCACCATATGCTCCCTTTCTCCAGCACTATCTCCTTTCTTCATCCCCTTCCCAGAGCTGGACAACTTAAATGTCTTCCCATTCCTTCTTCCACTCCAATTCTTACAAGGCTTATGGGAACTGGAGATGTCCTCCAGACTTCAACTGAAATGTCTGGGGTGCCTCATCGAGAGCCTGGATGTGGGGTTTGCTGGGAGTCATTGTCTTCTGTTTTATTTCTTCAATTGCCTGCAGATATTTCCAGGGAGATGGTCAAATAGGCTACTAGAAAAATGGTCTGAGAAGCCACCACATGCTCACTTTCAATATTGAGCAATGTATCAGTTCAGCGAAGGACTGGCCGTGAAATGCCCTACTCAATTCTGGTTCTCTAGCAGGAAGAGGTGGAGGTGGAAGTAAGAATAAAAGGGGCTAAATGCGGGAAGATTGACTTCAGTGAAAGCTAAAGATGGAGGAAGCAGGGTTCTGTGGCATTCCTCTGATCCTGATGAGTATGTGACACTTGTGAAAGGAAAGGACAAAAGCAGAATCAGGCACACTGTGATGTAGTCCTGCAAAGCTCTCAGATAGTCTGAGAGAGAGAGAGAGAGAGAAATGTGGGGCCAAGATGATGTATGAATGAAGCACAGCACTGAAATGCGAAGCACAGCCTTGGCCCCCCTGTTGTATTCTGTTATTGACTAGAGGCTGCCTCCAAAGATCACAGCCTTGGTTCAAAACGGAAGCAAATGCTGCAGGTGCGATAGCTGCAGGCTCTCAGCTAACTGCTCTCCCTATAGCAGGAAGGTTAGATGTTTCTTGAAGAGAGAACTGAGTCCACACCTACCACAGCCTGTAACTCTTTCTAACCACCAAGAAAATGCTCAACATTAAGAAAAACATAAACTCAGTAGGCAAGCTTTGGCTTCCTTATCAAGCCTTGGCTTACCTTGGAGTAGCAGGAAACCACTTTCCTACCTAAGGGTGGGTTCTGAGAAAGCTAGGTGTGGAGTTATCAGGGAACCCAGAGTCTTTGAGAAAACAGGATAAAGACATAATACAATAAAGCCCGAAATTGGAACAGGAGATCATGGGGTTTATTTGAAGCTCCTCTCCCATCTCTTGAATGTCCTCAACAAATTTTGCCTTCTCAACATCATGCATATATTATATGTATTATGTATGCACATATGTATGTGTGTGCATATATATTATGTATGTGTATATATGTATGTGTGTGTGCATGTGCCTATATAGGATTCAGTTTCACTGTCTGTCCCTTTTCCCTGGGACCATGATCTTTCAGCCTCTGTTCTTTATCTGCTGGCCCTCCAGAATAGCTCAAAATTCTACCACTTATTAGATCCCTTTTGCCTAGACCCTTCACCTGAGTTCTCAGGGTCTCATCTCATGTTCGGAACTAGCAAATGTCTACAGGGGAAAAGCAATTGTGCAACATTAATTCACTTATCTGTGAGTCCTCTCTTCTCTTGGATTTTAGCCCCTAAAGTCATGCAATCTGATATGATCCTCCAGCTTTATTTATTTATTTTAAAAGTTTCATTTATTTATATTGGAAAGGCAGATTTATGGAGAGGAGAGACAGCAAGGTCTTCCATCTGCTGGTTCACTCCCCAAGTAGCTGCAATGGCTGGAGCTGAGCCGATCTGAAGCCAGGAGCTTCTTCCAGGTTTCCCAACCATGTGCAGGGTCCCAAGGCTTTGAGCCGTCCTCTACTGCTTTCCCAAGGCAGAGGCAGGAAGCTAGATGGGAAGTAGGGTAGCTGGGATATGAACTGGTGCCCATATGGGATCCTGGTGCATGCAAGATGAGTACTTCAATCACTAAGCTACCACACAGGCTCCTGGCTTTATTTTTGTTGTTAAGATTGCCTTAGGTATTCTGAATGTCTTGTGTTTCTATATGATTTTTAGCATCATTTTTCCTATACCCGAGAAGAATGTCTTTTGTTCTATTATGCCTTTAAATTGACTTGGTTCATATGTTATCAATATTTTCTAGTTGTTGTTTTGAGTAATCCTAACTGAAGCTACTTCATTACCTTAAGACATATACTTTTAATTTTCCAGCTATATGGAAATTTAAAAATTCCCTTTTGGTTGTGATTCCTAACATCAATGCAATTATATGTTACAGTATATTTGAATTTTTTTGAATTTTTCTCTATCTTCTGTAACACATTATTTTTTTCAGATATAAGTACCCCCCCTATGCTTTATAAGAATGTATGTCCCGGGCCTGGCGTGATGGCGCAGTGGTTAAGGTCCTCGCCTTGCACTCTTGGGATCCCATATGGGCGCCGGTTCTATCCCAGCAGCCCCGCTTCCCTTCCAGCTCCCTGTCTGTGGCCTGGGAAAGCAGTCGAGGACGGCCCAAGGCTTTGGGACCCTGCACCCACGTGGGAGACCCGGAAGAGGCTCCTGGCTTCAGATTGGCATAGCATCGGCCGTTGCACTCACTTGAGGAGTGAATCATTGGACGGAAGATCTTCCTCTCTGTCTCTCCTCTCTGTATATCCGCCTTTCCAATAAAAAAAATAATAAAAATAAATCTTTAAAAAAAAGAATGTATGTCCCCTTTCACATATAAGGGAAACATATGCTATTTATCTTTCTGTGTCTGGCTTATTTCACCTTAACATAATCTCTTCTAGTACCACCCATTTTGCTGTAAAAGATTTCATTCTTTTGAAGGGATGAAGATATTTTAGTGTGTGTATACACACACATTTTCTCTTTTAAGTCTGGACAATAGGTATTACATCAGCTAGATAGAACACGTTTTCAGTGTTTGATATCACAGCTCCCAACAGCCTATCCAAGGTGCTCCAAAGCTCCAGGACTAAAGCTATGGCAAAAGAGGGGAATGTTACTTCTCCAACTTGATCAGCACATATTACACACATGCACTGAAATGCTGTACAATATCCCACAAGTATATATTCAATTAATAAAGTTTTAAAGAACACATTTTATAACTGTTAAATGCAATTATCTGTACAAATTAAGCCTTTAAAAACTATATGGAAGAGCTAAAGAGGGAGAAATGGAGATTCTTCCATTTGATTCACTCCTCAAATAGCCACAATGGCTAGGGATATAGCAGGCTGAATCCAGGAGCCTGAAACCCCTTCCAGATTGCCCTTGTGGGCGGTAAGGGCCCAGGCATTTGGGCCTTTTTCCTGCTTTTCAAGCATATTAGCAGGGATTTGGTTCATGAAAGGAGAAGCAAGGACTCAAACTCATGCTCCTATTTGCTAATGTTTTTGAGGTTCATTCTACAAATAATAAGCGTGGGCTGCTTAAGGTGCAACTTTGGGCACCTGCATTCCCATAGCAGTCACTAATGTGCTTGTGAAAGCAGCAGATGATGCCCCAAATAGATGGATTCCTGCCATCCATGTGGAAGACCCAGGTTTCATTCTGGCCTCCTGGTATCAGCCTTGCTGGGCTCTGGTTATTTCAAGCATTTAGGTAATGAATTTACAAGTGGAAGAGGGCTGTTTCTGCTTTACCAAGAAAAATATTAAAGCAATTTAAAAATTAAAGGGCTGTATGGATATATTTTTAATGTAGAATTAAAGATAATGGCACCTTTATTTGTGGCAATCAGTGTATTTTGGCATTCACTTCCCAGTAAATGCAGCATTTTGGCTAGGATTTCCATTTTCACCCAACTTCATTGCTACCTCAAATAGATGATCCCAGGAAACTGAATACTTGACAGGAAGAGAGGAGGAATAGGATGGATTGCAAAAAGGACAAAGAAAAAGGACAAGTTGTCAATCATTGTTTTCAACAAAGTTTTATTTTTTTTTAATTTGAAAAAAACCTTATGCTTTGTAGAAGAATCAAGTATCTGTTTCGAACCCTCAAAAGTGCAAAAAAAAAAAAAAAAAAAAAAGAAGAAGAAAAGAAAAGAAAGAAAAAGAAAAAAAAGGCCTTAAAACGAGCTTGACTGAGTCACTGGCTTAGTAAGACACCAGGTAAGGTGTCTGAACGGCCCGTGGAAATATCTGTGTTTAATACCCACCTCCAGCTGCCCTGAGCATACCAGGAGTTAACAGAAGGGAGATTTCTCAAATAACTAAAAATAACAAATTTAAAAAACCTTACCAAATGTGAAAACTCATCAGAAATCAAATTTTATTCTTTGCGAGTTAGAAAAATATGACCATGTCAAAAAATACAGTCTAGCCCATAAAGAGTCATTCCAGCCATTTAAAAGTTTCCAGTTTGGAAAAATCAGGTCGCATACAAGTCTTAAAACACTTTGTGAACAACACACAACCATCAGTTTAGTTATTGCTAGTTACATGTAACTTCTACTTGAGACTGTTCTCCATTAGAGATAGAGTAGGACCTGGCCTGCTGACTGTTGCACTTGAAAGCTGTGGTTTACAAAAACCCTAAGCAACAATAACTCTCACTTGGAGTATATTATCACACATAAGTTTTGACTAGTTCTACAAGAAGGTGTGCTCTAAATTTCAGCTCCATTTCCTTATCTTTTTAAAGTCTGTTTTAAGTGAGTGTCTTAGAAATAGAACATGAATTATTAGCCAGGAGTTGATGAGTTACAGGGTTTAAAATTAAATGATAAGAAATATTGATTTTGATTGCAGTGTAGAAAACAAAGCTGGCATGTCTTTAAGACATTTAAAAATGAAAAAAAAAAGTTTAAAACCAACGTTAAAACTTCTCTAGAAGCTGAAAAAATATTCAATTTGTTCTTTTGAACTTTAGTATGAAGATCTGTGCTCTATTTTTTTTCCTGTTGCTCCAAAAGATGAGTTACCCACATTTCCCCACTAGTATATGAAATAGCAAATTGCAAAATCAACTATTTTAACTTTCAATAATCCAGGAAAAGATAAAGCATATGGCAGTATAAAGCACAAGCATAAAATGAACTCTTTTGGGAGCGGGTAATATATGGAATACTTTGGGTCTAAAGTTCACACGGAAGACTTAGAAGTTAATAATGGTGCAAAGAGGTATTAGTGGCTTTCTTTCCAACTTCCCTGCTAGATTATGTTACCAGGTGAGATTTATTGCTGGTATTTTACTTCCCATATTTATTTTTCAATAAGCTGATACCTAAAAACACACATACATACGTAAGGTGATGTAGATTGTTTTTTTTAAAAAAAGAATCCTTCTTGAACTAAGTGACATTCATGATCAGTAGGCAAAAATACTTAATGAGAAATTTAAACTAAAAGCAGGGTACATTTTTAGGAGGTAGAAAACAAGTACCAAAAAGTTATCATTTTGAAATTCACCCTCCACTTTTGGCTTCAAACTTAGATTTTGCATTTCTCATTCCCCATTCTCCTACTAAAGCTATTAATTCTACTACCATTCATTGTGTAAATGTATAAACCTACAGCTGCCAAGAAAATCTTTTTTAAGTTTTGCTGCTAAGCCACCAAATGTACCTGATGCTCAGGCATCAACTAAGAACATTCTGCATCACTCTATTTGGTTAATTCACTTCATAACAAAATGTGCCAGTGTAAAAAAAAAAAAAACAACTTTACCTTGCAATTCTAATACATTAGACTAGTTGTACAAACCTAAATTTGTATTGTTTTCGCTGTCCTGATTTGGAAAAGCTATATATTAAAATTGTATTACTAGTGTTAACTGAAAATAGGCAAGTATTTTGTTACAAAAATGTATCTAATAACCAAAATGAGCTGCGTTTCTTCCCAGAGTTACATTGTGCTGATATTCTAGACAGTATTATAATAAAGAATTCCATTTTTGCAAAAGGCTGGGTTCACAGTGAATATGTTAGTACCAAGATCACGTGCTTAATAGTAAAGAATGGCATTACTGAACGTATCTAAGGCATGTAAAAATAGCATTAAAGCTCTTAAGGGCAATGATTTAAACTTGTATCTGCTAGAAAAAGGTGTTAAGAATAAAACAAAGCAAGAAAGCACATGCTAGTCTGTAGTGCTTTTATGAAGAGATGGATTTGCTGCTGGAGCTAATGGAACAAAGATGAATGGACTCCCTGCTCCCTTTAGCAAGTAGCCCAGTCTTGAAAACGGAAGCAATCACTGGCTATCTTCCACACTGTACTGTTGGGTGTGACCTGAGCAGTCAGCAGGAAATTTTGGTTGAAGAAATGTTGCTTGTTTCCATCAAACTTCACAATTCCGCTGGTCACAACGAGAACTGTTGTCTGCGACTGGGTAGCTTGCTCTTCATCCACACACACAAAAAAAAGGTTAGTTTTGTCTTTAGAAAAGCAGATTTTTAAAGTTGTGTAGTTTATGACCTAATGCTAACAAATATCGTAAGTTTTCTTTACAATGATGAGTATGTAAATCCCAAACGAGAAAATAAAGTAGATTTCAAAGATACTGAAATTACTTTCAGTCCTGTAAGATTTGAGGTACTCTGATGTTTTAAAATAAAGAGTTTGTAAATAGTGCAGGACCAAATGTTTCCGATATACATTAATATTTTATTAGGCGTCCATAAGGCTTATGCATATGTTGTTTCTTCAGCTATTGTTTATGAACATCACAGGAAAAGCATTGCCCTAAACCAGTAGAAGGGACCTTTAAAGCAGCTATGCAAATTTTGAGTGATGGAATTATGGTGCATGATTTCAAATTATTTTGCACCAATATATGCTTAGTTTTTAATTCCATTTTTCCATGAGCTGTTTAAAGACCCCCTCCCCATACTTAAGACACTTAGGACTCCACCTAGAGGACAATATTATAAACTGCATAGATGTATCTTGAATCATATTCTCTTTCCACAAACTGATTTCATATTAACAGAATAAGCTTCCGTGAAATTTTAATAAGTTGAAAAAGACATCAAAAGATATTAACCATGTATATATGCTAAATTTTCTCTGAAGACAGTTTAAGATCCTGCAGGCAGTTATATTGAGAAAAAGTAGGCGCTTTCTCTTCTTCATGAACGAAAAGCTAATGTATCTTCGATTTCTCATATGGTTCTTTTATAAGCCAAAACCACACAAACCATGAAAACTCATTAGTGGGTCTCTAAAGTAAGAAGCTTTTAAAGGAAAACCAAAAGTTTGGATAGCTCAATGACATAGAATATTAACGTTACCTAAGTACGTAAACAGTTCTACTAGTATAAGTTGCTTGATGCTTCTGATGTAAAAGTTCAGTGGTTATTCAAGGAAAACAAAGCAAGTATCTCAGAATACCTTGATCTTACCATGAACTGGCTGGCAATCTAACATGTTGACTTGAAACTGACTTGATGGCAACATGTCAAAAAAACTTGTCAGGGAGTCCATGCCGGTAACAACATTTCCGTTCCAGATCAGGGTGGCCTTGTCCAGATAGAGCCTGGTAATTGCCTAACGTGGGAAAATGTAAAAGTAAAATGGACAGAGTTATGCTTTTAGGTAAACCATTGTCTAGAAGTAGTTTAAAAGGTATAGGAACATGAAATTTACAAAACTGGGTGTGTAGGGAGAGAGTTTAGGAAACAGGGAAAGTGGGAGGGGCAGGAGAGATGGATATATGATCATGTTCTTAATGCTACGAAAACCTAGATCGCTCCTTGAGGCTACTTTATTTTTGTGATTAGTAGGCACAATAAACACTCTACACAAGGAACAATAAAGCATCCACTGTCACATCCCTTCCCCCATCCCATACAAACTACCAGGAACTTCTTTCATCTTCTGCCTTTACAATGATAGGGATTTAGTAATAAAGTATCAACCTTTGCACCTGCAGAACAGAAGTTCACTAAATTATAGCACTATGCTGATAAAAGAGTTAGGGTTTACTTAATTGCTACTCATCACCCTAGTCATAAAACGATGGTAAGAAAAAATAGCAACTGGCATGAGATCATGAAAACTAGGGAAAAGCAAAGAGATACCTCCTAACAGCCATTATAGCAATACTTCCCCAAGCAAGTTCTTAAAAAGCAAGTCCAGTTATCACATAAAGGAGCCAAACAGCTGGCTCATTAACAGCAAAAAGAACTGATATTGGATAAAAGGTAGTGCATTGTGTAATACTCACCTGGCGTCTCTTATCCATGGTCTCATAGTAAATGTTGACAAACTCCTCAGCAGCTCGGCAGGCCTGATCTACATATGTTTTGAAGTCCTACAAGAAAAGTGTTGCAAGTATTGATGACCTGCTCCCCAACTGTGCCTGAGCGCCAAACCAGCAGCAAGAGCCGATGAGCTACCTCAGTAAACACTGTAGCTCTATACACAGTCCATATTCTTCCATGTGCATATAAGAATTGTAATGATATGGAATCGAGAGTTGCTTTTTAAAAAAGTTGTTTGTAGGTGCTTCTCTGTAATATATGATCATGTCTGACTAGGGAATCCGATTGCTTTCAGTGTTCACAATATATGTTACAAAACATTCACGGTTATAAAAATGACACTGTGTAAGTCTTAAAGTGTGGGGAGAGGGAAGTTACTGAGTAAACGGGAAACATGTTTAGCTTTCTTTCCCAGGCAAAAGTTACGATTCAATTGAAACAGCGCTGATTGGCCGAAACGAAACGAAACGAAAGGCAATAGGAATAAGTGAAGTCGCAAGGAACTACTTGGAAAAGTATGAAGGTCCACTTAGAAAACTTGCTCACTGTGCACACCTTCGTAGGGTTTGTTTTCTAGTGTATTAGAACAGACATGCTACCGGGAGCTAAGGTGGAGAGGGAAGGCGCTCGGGTCCCTTCTCGCCCTGCCATTCGGCAGCCATAGCCAATTCTCTGAATGCAGACCCCTGGGTCATCACTTTCATTCCTTTGTCAGGCGATCAAGGGCACTTTTTGTTTTTAAGGGGGCAGATTAAACAGAGCTTTAGAGCCTCTAATGAACCTGAGACCCTGGCCCACCCTCCCGTAACTCCGCTCACTCCGGGACCAATCAGAGGCCACGCGACGCTGAGAGGGCGGGCGCTGCTCTGGGCCCCGCCCCCGAGACAGGCTGTTCTGAACCGGATTCGTCGCCCGAACATGTGACGCACAGCTCCGCCCGTGCCCCTCCCCTCGGCCACCGGCGCGCCGACGCCGAGGCTCCCCATCGCGACCCGCTCACTCACCACGGCCATGGACATGGGGGATCCCGAAGCAGCCTTTCCCGGCAGTGGCAGAGTCACCACCTCGTCGCGGGCGTGGTATCTTCGGCTGTTATAGAACCAAAAGTTTAGAAAGCGACCAAAACCCGCCAAAGGCGCACAATTTACTAAACCGCCCATTCGGTCCCGGAAGTAGCCAGTCCGCCGTTAAAAGCGCCCCGGCGTTCCCACCGTCCCACCCACCTCCTTTCAGTTCCATTGAATTGCTACCACCTCGGTTATTTTATTTACTCCTTGATGGTTGTTCACGTAGTTTAAAAGAGAAAAACAACACTACTCTCTTGCCAACTGAATACTCTGAAGAAAACTATCCTGGTTTTGAAGCCAGGCAGCTTCGCTCAAAGCAAAAATGTACAATTAAGGGAAGCGGGTTGTCTTACTACTGCAGGAAATAGGATCAAAGTCCACTGACAACCAATGAGAAACGTGAGGCCTAAGAGAGCCACAGTTTGAGATAGAAGGGGCGGAGCTTGTGGGAGCACACTGGGCAACAGCAACAGAACAGTTTAGAGAGTTTTGTTCTGGAATCTTCTGGAAGAAACAAGGCTCCCCCAGCAACAAAACGGCAGGAATACAAAACATTTCATTTTACACCCACCATATTTCAAAGGTAAAGGCTTTTCGGGTCTATTCTATAATACACTTGCAAGTATCTTCCCGAGAATAAAATTAAAAATGACTTCACAATACCATCCACACTTTGCAGGCCCCTTAATACAGAAGAAAGAAGGCAAACAATAGCTAAAATCTCAAATCACCACCATTTTCCACATATTTTTATTCACTGGCACATTTCCAATACCGTTAATTACTACTTTTACCATCTCCGATTTCAACTGAGACACAAATTACCTAGCGTGCTTAGAGACAGGGAGTTGAGATTGAAGGCCAGATGAAGTCACTAGCAAGCCAATACGGCTTTTCAGCCTAGCTCAAAGCCACCACTGGCTTCTGCATTGCCCCGTCGCTTCTTACCTTGAGTAGCTGCTTTCAGGCTGCTCATGATGGTAGTCTCTCCTTCCACAATACCTATCCGGCTCTCCAGAAGACCAGTCTCTTCTATACCTTCTCATACTGGAGAACTTTGTTTTCCCTGACTGCTTCTCTCCTCTTCTACCTCTAACTGAAACGTTAAGAACTTCTTGCCTCTTCCGTTTGTCTCTGACGTCACATCCGAGACATCTCCCACTGAAGTCCTCCCCGCACTATTGTTACAAATATGTTAGTAAGTATCCATATCCACCATCTTCCCTCTGAACTTTAATCACAACTGTGCATTTTTATTAAACATGAAAACCAAGGTAAAACACAGGCTTTTGATGCTTGTAAGCACAGGATGTTCTCTGATTTTTTTTTTCTGTGCTTTTGCCTCCATCCCTCCTTCTTTAAATTCTCCTGTCATCTCTACTTGAGTTCTTGGAAATTGTTTCTTGATTCCTCTCTACTGATCATCAACATTCAGGCAACAAAAGTGTATTAAACATTTACTATGGTTCTAGACAATGGGCAAGGTTCTGCAGATAGAGCAGTGCCTAAAGAGGAATTACCATATAGCTGCCTGAATCTACAGTGGAACCAGAATGCAAGACACTAAATGAAACATTAATGAGTTACAAAGGAACAAAATGTAACTTTCCCAGTTCCTCCTGTTCCCTAAAGCAGTTTCTAGTTTCATCTTTCACTGCTCTTCCTCCTTCTTTCCCTCCAATTGTGTTAACATTTTCCCTGCCAAGTTCCCATTGTCCTTGAAGACCTATCTTTGGACATAATTTATCTTTTCAGACATTTTTCCCAATTCACAAACACTGGGAAACTTAACTGTTATGTGCTTAAAACAACTATTTACTGTTTTATTGGTGATTATTTGTCTTTGCTGAGGCTTGGTGTTTTATCTTTTATTCAATCCTTACCATCTCAGACAGGTAGGTGCTACTACTCCAATTTTAAATAATGGAAACTGAAGTTCAAAGAAGTTAATTGGTTAGGATGATATAGCTAATGGATGTGGCATTTCAAGGTGTCTAATCCCAAATGCTTTGCTCTTAGGAATTTTTCTACTCATGAATTTCTTGGGGCTGTCATGGTACAGTATGCTAACCCTCTGCCTGTGGTGATGGCATCCTGCATGGGTGCTGGCTTGAGACCTGGCTGCTCCACTTCTGATCCAGCTTCCTGCTTATGGCCTGGGAAAACAGTGAAGGATGGCTCAAGTGCTTGGGGCCCACACCTGCGTGGGAGACTTAGCAGACACCCCTGGCTTGTGACTTTGAATTGCCTCAGCTCTTGCCATTGTGCCTATTTAGGAAGTGAACCAGTGGATGGAAAATCCTCTCTACATAGCCTCCTTTCTGAAACTCTGCCTTTTAAATGAAAGGTAAAAAAATGAAAGTTAAAGAAAAAATCTGCTATTCATGCATTTTCTCATAATCTCATTTCAGAATGTTCACTCCTTTCATGTCTGCTTCCTCTTCAGGAACCATGGCAGGTTAAGTTCTCTTGGCACAGTCTTCCTTCATTTCCTATGCCCTGAACCCAGAGGGGTCTCATCCCTCTTACGACTAGGAGGGCAACTGCTGGTGTCGTCGGTAAGGCTAGAGAAGAGGATGTGATTGGGGATATTGAACAAAGGCATCTGAATGAGAAATGGGGCAAGACCTCAAAGTTTTGTGCTGAAATGTTTATAAAGATTTCTTTTTGTTACATTGCAGGAATAGTGACATCCATGTGTTGCAAAAGTGGGAGGCTGGGTGATAATAGAGAGGCCAGTGCTGGACTTCAGTGGAACCGAGCAGTGCATTTAAATCATATGAAAACTTTGTTGATTAGAGAGTGAACTGGGAAGAAGGTGAATGAGACACAGAGTTGCTTTTCCTAGATAACAACATTTGCCATAGAAAGAATGACTAGGAGTGGTGTAAAAAGGCTTTGCTTCGAACACAGAATAGCATTTTGGTCAGCTATGCTATTGGGATCAATCTGGGTTAAATTCCTGGTGGTGCCACTGACTAGCTCTATGACCTTAATCATATGGCATATTCTATTGCATGACACAACCCCGTTAGATACAAAGTGGAAATAATAATAGTAGCATGTGTTTCAGAACATTGCTTTGAGATTTGTGTCACTGCCTATTAGATGATACTTGTTCAAGGAACATAATTTTTGTGCACATTGCAGAGATTAGGTAGCTGTATATTTAACAGATTGAGGTTGTAAGAGATCCAGTAGTTAGTAGGTTATTGAGAGCGTCAGTAGTACAGTCCAGGAAAAATGTGGGAGTGCTGGGATAACAAATTATAGGAGCAGTAATTGAGTTGACTAAGTTACTGTGCAGCCAGCTCTGCTGGTCAAGTGTGGATGAAAATCCTTGAAAGCTACTGAATCCATATTGAAATTTTGGCCTTTCTCCACACTGGGTAGGACTAATCTCAAACAACCCTATCTGCCTGCCCCTTTCTCTCAAAATCTAGAATTGGCAATAATCTGGTTCACATTAAATAGGTCTTTTATTTTTAAACCAGGTTTGTTGAGATACTATTTATATTTATATCATCCTATCAATTTATATTATCATAGAAGTAATTCTTTTATAAACTAGTCAGTTGTTAAATAGCTATTAACTATTTAAATAGTTATAAACTATTCAGATTTTAGTGTATTCATGGGCTTATGCCAGAATCCCCATTAAACTTTAAAACATTTTTGAAACCCAGAAAATAGACAGCTTTTCAACGACCATTAAATCCCCAGGCCCCTTTAACCTAGGCTTCGAGCAATTAACATTATATTTTCTATTTCTTCGGATTTGCTTAGATTGGAAAATCCATATAAATGGAATCATATAATACATAGTACTTTGTGCCTGGCTTCTTTCACTTAGCAGAATGTTTCAACACATATCCATGCTGTAGCATGTATCAGTAATTTATTCCTTTTCATTTGCAGAGTAATATTCCACGGCAAAGATATTCTTCATTATAGTTATTTCTATATCCATTGGTGGATATTTGGTTTCTTCTACTTTTTCGTAATTGCAGATAATGCTTCTGTGAACCTCTGTGTACACTGTATTTGTGTGGATACATCCTAGATATCTAGGAGATGAATTGCTTGTTTATAGTGTAACTTCTTTTTACTGTTTTTTTAGGAACTGCTGGCCTGATTTCCACAGTGGTAACACATTCCCACCAATGCTGTACAGGAGCTTTGATTTCTCCACGTCCTTGCCAATACTTGTTGTTGTCTGCCTTTTTGATTATAATAATATTGATATGAAGTGGTATCTCATGATTTCTGGTGTTTATTATTTTATTTCCACTGACTGGAACAGCAGAAAGAGGAAGAGAGAGAGATCATCCATCCAGTGGTTTAGTCCTCAAATACCCACAACAGCCAGTACTTGGCTATTTCTAAACCAGGAGCCCAGAATTCTGTCCTGGTCTCCTATGTGGGTAACAAGAACTTGAACCATCCATCTGATGTTTCCCAGGCAGAGTAGTAAGCAGCTGATTGAAAGCAGAGCAGAGGGTACTGAAATCAGCACTTTGATGAGGAATATAGGGTCCCATGTGGCAGGGTATGGGTTGTGTCAGGCTGAGCTAGGCTACAACACACATCAGCAAGAGCATAGAGGAAGCAACTGAAATGATACTGGGGATCTGGGTCATGCCAGATTATGCTGAAGCACCTGCCAGCACAGGCAAGATCTGAGGCTGGGAGCAAGCCTGGTAGGGGGACTTTGGGGACTCCGTTACTAGGCTGAAGCTCCCCCTGGTGAGTAATAGAACTGGGGCTAGGCCAGGCCAAACCACATAAGGATGCAGCACCCTTTTGGCATGCATGTGGGCTAAGTCTGGGGGTAGGCCAGACTGAGATAAGCCTCAGTACCTGCTGGTGCCTGTGAGAGCCACAATGAGTATAAGACAGTATTTGGGCTAGGCTGCAGCATCTGCCAGGTCACATAAGAGCTGAGTCTAGGGGGTGGGCAAGCTGGGCTAGATTGTTACATGCCCCTAGTGAGAGCCAGAATGGGTTCAGACCAGTTGGACTATGCCACAGTTCCTGCTGGTGAGCATGATTGCCAGGGCTGGGGGCAGGCCAAACCAGGCAGAGTTGCAGCACCTGTTGGCATATGTGTGGGCCATGTCTGGTGGTGGCCAAGGCTGGGCCAAGTTGGATCAGTCCACAGCACATACTGGCATGAATGAAAGCCAAGATGGGGTGCTGGATGGATTGGGCTGTAACATCAATCAGTTCACATGAACTGTGAAGGCTGGGGCTGGGGTAGGCAAGGATGGGCTAGGTTGTTGCACCCACCACCCACCAATGACAGCTGTGACTAGGAATGGGCTGGGCTGAGCTAGGCTGCAGTACCTATAGGCAAATGTTGAGACTGCATTTGGCCATGCCAAACTGGGCCACAGTATCCACTAGTATGTGCAAGTCCCAGGACTGGGAGCAGGTCTGGTAGGGTAACTTTAGGGACTACACTGCTAGGCCTATGCTTCCACTGGTGAACATGAGTGCTGAGACTTGAGGTGGGCCATTCCATCCAGGGCTGCAGCACCTATCGTCTGTCATGTGGTCTTGGTCTGGGGTTGGGCCAGGTTGGGTTAGGTTGCCACACCTGCTGGTACACTCAAGAATCAGAATGGATACAGACTGGCCAGGCCAGGCCAGACCACAGCAACAGCCTACAAATGTTGGGACTAGATGTGAGTCATGTCAGGCTGTACTGCAGTATGCTCTGGCAATCATAAGATCTAGGGCTGGAAGTGGGGCTAGTATGGGAACTCTGGACACTGCCCTGGTAGGTTGTAGCTCCTGCAATTAGTTCCTGCATTGCCTGGTACAGGTGATGAACTGAACCCGGCCCCGAACTAGCTAGCACATACCAGAGTCAAGTTTCAGGTCACTGCAGGTGATTTTTTTTTTTTTTTTTGCAGGACTCTCCAACTAGTTTTCTGGACTCAAATCCTGGCCACAGGAAAAATTACAAGATATGTGGTCTGACCTTGGAGAACATGTTTTTTGACTGGGCCTCCTCAGTTGCACATGCTTTTGCAGTAGACAGTATGCCCAGATGCACACAGGGGACATAACATCTAGCTGATCTATGCCAGCAGAGGATGTGA